TGCTCTGTCATGTTTCGGTTGAATCGTTCTACAATACATTCGGGTTTTCCAAAAACCCAATATTTGCCACATTTCTTAGAATACCGCTAATTAGAAATTCCTTTCCTTCAATTCTACAGGTGAACTTAATTTTAGGTTAAGACATTCGCAACAGTTTTATCGATAGCATAGGAGCCGTGCAAAACCCTTCATTCAGAGCGTGGAAGGCATCCCATTGTTCCTTGTTCCACTTAAAAGGGAATTTGATACGCTAGCAAAATTCTAGATATACCAATCATGTTTTCCTATATTGTTCCTAGAGCACATGGTCCAAAATCTTTCAAAAGTGGCAGGAGCGGTTTTCTTTCTTTTTCACAAGTACTAGCGATGGATCTAAAACACCACTCTCGCTCACTTATTTTATTACTTGGCTAGCAGCGTCACGTTTGGTCACTGGAACACTTCCAGGAGCTTGACGAATCGGGCTAGCGTCACCAATATCATGGAACGTTTCACAACGTTGGTCCTGTATGGTTTGTTGCCATCTTTAGCGAATATGTTGGAATATTCGGGGAGAAGTTGTTTGACTTTATGCTAATATTTCAACTATTTCTTCAAGACATTTTCCCAACATAGTTCTTTTTCGAAGTTTTATTGGTGAATTTAAATTAATTTAATAACCGAACTGAGATGCGTCCATTCTTTTGCGTCTTTGCCAGGGTTTTACAAATAAGTGCGGCCGTGGTACGTTCAACAATTCATAATTTTTTTGTCTCACAAAGAGCTACCGTCTTACATGTTTAAGCATACACTTTGTATATATGTATATCCTTTACTCCGCTAATGAACCTATGGATTTTTACTTTCTCAAGGTGCTCATCAGATGAGTACCCGATGTCTAGATGAGCCAATCATCTAATTGCAGAAGCAAATTACTGCAGAGATTTATTATACTTACGATTGCGATTCTTGAGCTCCATCTGTTGCATTTGCCTGTTGAGCTCATTACCACAATCGAGAATGGTCTGCAAATTTTCTGCTGTTTGCTGTTGCCAACGTTTCGAACTGAAACTTAAGACCTGGAAAGGGATTGTGTTTTTATACTGAGAGCGTTCGTTGGAGTTTGTTTGAGGTTTCCGGTGATGTTCTTCAATCTCATTGTCTTTGCCCTCGAGCTTATTTTGTCGTTCGATGCCTTCTCAAAGCCATATTTCCATATGTGAATAATCCTCGCTTTGCTAATTATATTTTTTTTTTTTTGTCAGTGGTATCGTTAAATCCTGAATATCTTATCCTTCGGGATTTATTTAGCAACACCACTTCTGCCACCACTTGTTACGATTTTGCCAATTAAGCCTAGATGGTCTCCTAAATCTTTCGAGTTCATTCACTAAATTGTCAAATAAAAGTCACCCAAATGTTGGGCAATTTCTTAATTATAATGAACTAAGACTGCGTTCATTCATTACTCTATAACTAACAATGCGTTTTACTATACACGACGACTTTCTTTACAATTCTAACACCATATTATTTTCACACAGCTTATTATATGGCATTTCCACGACAGCCCAATTACGTGTTTCACTCTCTTAATCGTAATTCGCACTCCAAATACAAGCCGAATTATTTAATTCGCCATACAAATTTTCATGAGCGAATTACAGTAAACAGTAATTCGTTCACAGTTGCCATGCGAATTACGATCAAATCGATGTATTTTCTAATTCATATCGAAATTTTATCGAAACCAGCTGACAAATCAAAACAAAAGACAGGATAATCATAAAAGTCGACATTGATTTGAAACCAAAGAAGACAATTAGAAATTATTAAAGAAACTGGCATAACATTTCTAATTCAATTCAAAATTTTGTTAACTCCTACTAAAATCTTTAATTTCCATACGTTTTTAAATGGAGCAAACATGCGAAACCGAAAACATGCGGTTCGCTAGCCCCGCTAAGGCACAGGCTTGATCAGTCTTAAGTCGCCGAGGTCATCTAGTGGGAGATCCAGGAAACGAGCTTTTTCGATGGGGTCGAACCAAAGGGAGAGGGGGGTTAGATGGGTTGGTTTGAGGCGTCATGTGAAGGGGTGGTTAAAGTCCTGCGGAGACTCTCCACATGCAGGGCATACGTTGGGTATGCTGGGGTCTAGTCTGGATAAGTAGGAGTTTAAAATGCTACAATATCCAGACCTAAGTTGTGTCAGGGTCACGCGGGTCTCTCGAGAGAGCTCGAGCACGTTGTCTGCTATGGGTGGTGGTTTTTCTCCGAGCACGCCAATCACTGGAAGGGAGTCCTTGATGGTGTTGACTGACTCCTGGTGAGTGGCGTTCTTGACTGGGTGCTTGACTGGGTCCTTTAAATCTAGTACTCCCTTTCTGATGTGCCTAGGTGGAGGTTCAGCTTCTCTTAGGTGCCTATTGAGGTGCTCCCTACGGTAGCATCCCAAAAGGAAATGCTTACATAGCAAAGCATTGTGCTCCTTAACTCGTAGCATAGATGCTTTGCTGTGCAAGTAATGCTCCGGTGACATCAGAAGGTTTCCTGTAGCGTTCCTGAGGGCAGTGTTCTGGCAAACCTGTAGCTTCTTCATCTGCGTCTCGTTCGCCCTCGGCGCCCAGGTCGGTGCAGAATAGCAAACGACCGGCCGGCCAATTGCTTTATAAGTAGTCAGCAAAGTTTCTTTGTCTTTACCCCAGGTGCTGCCGGCTAGCGCTTTGAGTATTTTGTTGCGGCTCTGGAGTTTTGCGGTAATTGCAGTTGTATGCGGATTGAAGGAATGCAGGCTGTCTAGTGTTACTCCCAATATTTTTGGGTTATTTACCGTCGGAATTTTTCTGTCATCGACCTCCACATCTAGTTCAAGCCTGCATTCCTTCGGCCAGCTGGTGAAGAGGGTAACCGAGGATTTGGTCGGTTGTATTTTTAGCTGTCTTGCAGTGAAGAAGTGGGAGAGATCAGCGAGGTAGCCGTTCACTTTCGAGCAGGCGCCGTCAATATCCTGGCCAGACGCCATTATCGCACAATCATCGGCATACGAGGTTAGGGAAACTTCTTCTGGTGGTGGAGGGAGTTTCGAGATGTAAAGGACACCACCCTACGGATCGCCCTGTTTAATTTTCCCAGGTTTTGATGTTACACCTCAGAATATTACCGATGATTGTCGAGAACTCAGGTAGCCCATGGCCCACCTCTGCAACACCGGCGGTAATAAGAATTCCTCAATGTCCGGTAGTAGCACTGAGTGATTGACTGTGTCAAAAGCTTTTGACAAGTCGAGTGCTACTGCTACCACTGGTTCTAGGTGTTTTAGCATAAGCGCATCTCTTCTGGTCCGACGAGGCGCGATCAGCGAATGAAATTTCCACCCGGTCATTACGTCTCGTCGGGTTGGATAGCGACTTGACTGAAGCCCAGAGCTTGGTTGCCCCAGAGGAGAGGTTGCAGGTCCCTATGTGTTCCTCCCACTTTTTCCGCTTATGATTGTTGACTACTCCCTAATTATTGGATTCCCGGGACCGCCGCTTCTGTCGGAATATTTGGGCGAATTTCCGCAAATCCGCCTGCCAGGATGAAGCGGGCGCCAGCGGTCACGACGACCCTGCGGAATAAACGTTCACAAGTGGTGCCGACTGATGGAGTGTGAATAGCACTATAGACGTTCTCAGTGAACTCCGTGAAGCCGGGCCAGTTATCTTTTTTGAATTTAACAAATGTCCGGTGGTCCGCGGAAACAAAGGTATGGTGTTGTGCAGGATGAACGCCAAGCCCCCACCATGGTCTCGCTTGCGATCCTTGCGGTTTATGTTGTATCCGGCCCGCCTCAGAAGATCTAATTGGGCGGTCAACTAAGTTTCCTTGATCGCAGCAATTGACAGGTGTTCCCGGCTCATGTAGCCGACTATCTCGTCGATCTTTCCCTAGAGTCCACTGCAGTGGAGGTTGAAGGGAGTCTTACTGCGGGGAGCTCCGTGAGACCGTGGAGGTCTGTTGATTACCCTGAGTGGGTAGAGGTGCAGAAGGCATTGCCGAGGAGGCTGAAAGGGGGGGGGGGATGGGACGCTGGCAACATGGGGCCACATAGCTCGTGGTCCACTTCATGTGAGTCTTAAGGCCTGAGCAGGTCTTAAGGTGCATCCAACCGAGGTGGAGACGGTGGAGCAGCTCCGTTGTCGAACTAAGACTAATGTTACCTGTTGACCGAAACAACTCTCTCGACAGCCTGTTCTACGCACCGGAGTTGACCCGGATTTTATCCGGCTAAAGGCTGTCACCCTTTCGGCGACCTAACACCGTTTAGGTCAACAGGTAAACGGAAAACTGTTAAACTGCGTGCCGTTTGAATGGGGTTCATTCGCATTCTTAATTGAGAGAGCGAAACACGTACTTAGGCTGTCGTAGAAAGGCCGTATTACGCTGTACTTACCCGCTGTGGTTACTTCCTAACTGAACGAACTTGCGTTGGCCTCTTTCTTATATACAAAATTAATAGTGCTCGTACTCAGTTCTAGAAATATCTGGCATGCTCTCACCGAATATCTGAAATTCGTACTTTCGAACGTGCTTTAGTTATCGGCATCTGCTTTTCAACTGTCAATCGTATTTGGGATTTTCGCCACAATATAGGTATCAGATGTTAGATTTTAGGCGGAAAATATCTGCAACCTGAAAATACAACATTTGGTATACCTCCAACTTAATATTAGAGTTCAACTACTCATATTGTCAAAAATGTGTTACACGAATGACAGGCGGATGATACAGTTGAGTAGAGAACTCGGTGATGGCAACAGTAGTTTTAAGGGAAAAGTAAGCTGTATGTTTATAGATAGCTGTATAGTTAAACTGTGATACGACAAATTTTAGAAATTTTATTTAACAATCCAGTGATTAAGCACCAAAGATTTAGAAAATCGTTACAACTTAATTTAGCAAAATAGTTACAATATTCTGGCAACACTACATATACTACTAAAATTTTGTGGCAACGATATAGAGGGCCTAGTGGTAACGCAGCCATTAAAATATTAGTAACACTTTTATCACTCATATTTGTATATTATTTGCAAAATGTAAAATAGTTTTTCAGTAAAAGTGCGATCATTAATAAAAATAATTGGTTTCAAGTTCATTATAAGACGAGTGTTATGTATTTAATTTCGCATTTTGCAATTAATTTTTTATTCTACGGCTATACAGCTTAACTTTGATTCTTATCGTTAAGAGCGCAACAACAAAATCGTGTTAATAATAAAATCATAAGCGAATGTTATGCCATTCATTATTCATGTTATTTTCAATATTCTCAATCATAGCAATATCTTTGATTAAACGTACTGATCCGCCTAAATTATTTCCATATTGGAAAGAAAAGTTGAACAATTTGTTGACTGCTTGACACAAAATAAAGTGATTGGTTGACAGATACTCTAAACATTTTGTTTACAATTTCAAATATTGCCTAAATTAAGAAATTCAGAACTCTAAAAGTAAAAATTTGAAGATGAAATCTATTTCTAATAAGCATGATACTACTACTGGGATTGCTGGCAGTGATAATACTGGGAATACCGCATCAGCAAAAAAAGGCAATGGAAACGGCACAATCGAGGAAGAATATAAAAGTATCGCTGATCGGCATGGTTGGCATAGGTTTTATCAGGTAAAATTAATCTTTAATTTACGAAACCACCGGCCTTTATAAAATTTTATTTTCCAAGGCACACAATTAAATTCCGCTAACTCTAACGTTTCAAAACCTTCCCCTTTAGTATTTTGGTGTTCACTGTTACTTTTTTAGCAGACGAAAAGTGTGAGAAGATGAGGTAATATATGTAAATATAATTAAAAAAAACGATCTATTGAAATGCATAAAACAATTTTTAAAAGTTGGTATCGAATTCATGAGATACATACCAAGTTCACTAGGTGAAGTTATTTATAACCAAACCAGACTAACTTAGTTTTCAACTTCATGCCCAATTTTACTACTGAATATGTTAAAAGATTTGCTACCTATTTACAATCTTTAATTAACTTACGATCGACTGGGGAGGGCACTTTTTAAAATTACAAGTATTTTTTTTTTTACTGAAAATTCAAGAAATTTCATTCTATTACTATATTTTCCTTTAACTACATCTGAGGCGCGAAATGGTACCTCACCACCACATATAAAAAGAAGTAGATCCTCATCGCCTGACTTAATTTACAATAGAAGTGGTAGTAGCCCCTCACGTCTTACTCTCAAAAATCGAAGAAGTTATATAATGTTCGGATAAGATTTTCGTATTTCAATCATCTTTCTGAAAATCTTAGCAACAACTTCTTGCAAAGCAAGTTTTAATCTTGATCTCTATTGTTTTAGGACCAATGAGCGTTTCGAATTACGTAATTGTTGAATTACAATAATGTTTGTATGTAATAGGAATTGGAGAGGAGTACCCTGACTTAATGAGAAAGGGTCAGCACTACATGAATAAGTATAAATAGCTAAGAGTAAAATTTTCTGGTTTCGCCATTAAGAAAATAAAAATACCATTTTTTGCAACGAGCCTAATGCACAATCAGTTACATTCAACTTCCTACCCGCTCACTTTCAAACTTTTTAAGATATCGGCAACTTTACGCTTAATTCGGATGTCTACTGTGGTTAACCTTAAAGATGTCTTATTCCACCTGGATAATGCCAGACCACACACATATTTTGTTATTCACCAAAAACGTAGAGTCTGCCTGGGAATTGTTGATGCATCAACCATATAGTTCTGACCTGACCCAATCAAAATATATGCTGATCGGGTCAAAATGTTTATTAATTATAAAATAAAAAAACAGCTAATTTATAAGCAAGTCGACGAACAAGACTTGCTAGTGGTACTAAGGAGCATGGAAAAAGAAACATTTAAAAATACACAAGTTTGGACACATGGGTGCCAAATCGGTTATTTTTCATAGTTTCATCGGCTACGATATTCGCCGTTCCCAACTCGTGGAGGCTCACAAACCTTTCTTTCGAAAACATCTCTCGCCAACTTATCAGATGTTGTCATCGCTGCACCAAGAAGGAGGACGGGAATGATGAGCGACTTATAGAGTTTTGTCTTAATTCATCAACTGCTTACTCAGTCCAAAGATTGGCTGTGTACATTCGATTATGAAAGTTTTTTTTTACGTTGCTGCTCATACATATGTATGTATGTTTATGACCTCGTTAACTTCTATCCAGTCTTGAGAAAACAGAACTCGCGACGCGATTGTTGATGCCAATAGTGTCAATGTCATCGTCGTAAGCCAGTAGCTGTACACTCTTGTAAAAGATAATGCCTCTTTAATGTTGTTGTTGTTGTAGCGGATTCGCTAACCCCGCTTAGGCACAGGCTTGAGTTAGTCTAAGTCGTCGAGGTCATCTAAAGGTAGGNTACTTAGACTAAGGTTACCTGTAGACCTAAACGGGGTTAGGTCTCCGAAAGGGTGACAGCCCTTGGCCGGATAAAATCCGGGTCAACTCCGGTGCGTAGAACCGGCTGTCGTGAGAGTTGATGCCTCTTTAATCTGGTTAACTGCTTCAGTCAATTGTTAGTCTGCGTAGTCGTCTTCAGAACCAGCTTCTGATTACGAAGTGTCTTAAAGAAGTAGTTCAAAACTGTCTTCGGGAACTTTTATATTGCATTTGATTTGAGGAAACACTTAAGTAGTAGTTCTCTATACCGAAATAAATTTTCATTCCCGTTGGGCTTAATTGATGTACGAAAAAAAATTCACTAGCATTAAATGAAATATAATGTTATTGTAGTATTAAATTAACTTTCTGTCTTATTTTAGTTTGGATTGTTTGGCGATATTATGGGATTATTCAAAATACGTTAGATAACTTCGGTGAAATGATTTCGTGAATTACTAAAAAATGTTCCGAAGTCCAACATTTGTTAATTTCTTTTTTTTGAAATTTTATTAAATCAAACTAAAAAATGTTAAACGATTGGTGGTGTATTATGTAGAAAATAAAACATTATGATATACTTGGGCCCAACAGATCCTCAGGTGTAACCTAAATGGCAAGTTAAGTTGAAAAAAAGCTTAGTTTAATTGAATTTCACGAAAATCGTTTTGCTATATTTTGTTGATACCATACAAATGTAAGGGTTTTTATGAAAAATGAGCATACATTCAATAATTGGTGTGGCATCGTGTTCGCCCTGCGGATTTTTCCCTTGCTACACGCAGGTGTTGCTGTGCACTGTTCTGTACGCTTGTTTTGCATAGGCTTTATTATAATTTTATTTTATTTTAAATAGCGATTTGTTTTATATAATGTTTAAATAAAGTTTTTGTAGTTTTTATGTATTCCTATTCACTAGATTTATGTTATAGTTTTTATTTTAAAGCTTTGTTACAAAATTGATTTTAAACTCAATCCCGAATTTTAGTTAATTTTTTTCATTTTAAAAAGCGTATATAATACATACATATATATTTGGCGCTCAGTAACCGCCAAAGCGATTTACGGCCGAGCTCCTCCTTCAATTTGTGGTTTTGCGTCGTTATGTTTTTCCAACAAATGGAAGGACCTATATGTGTATGCTTAAGAAAGTTATATAGTTGTTATTAGAAGGATTAATTAAAATACGAATTGGATCATCATTTCCAAAAAATCGATGCCTGCATACGTGTATAACATGATTAACGAATATAACAGGCAATTATATTAATCCGATAAAATTGATGGCTGAAGGCAATCGAAGGATGACCGTAGGTAAACTACAATAATTTACGCGCAGTTAACCAAATTAATGAACTACTGTAAACTTAAATCAAACTCCAATCCCAATCGTCCTTTTAGCAATGTATAAATTTATTGAATATTCATTTAATATACTTTGATAAATTAGCATCTAAAGGGTGATTTTTTAAGAGCTACAGGAAAGTTTTTAAAAAAACACAGAATTTAAAAAAATACGGGCAATCTTTATTTGAATCGATAGTACGGTCCATATAATTTAATTTTTGAAGATTATTTCCTACAAATGTTGAATGTGATGCGCCTCAAACGGTCCAGCCGCTTAGTCCAATTTCGACATACTCTTTCCAACATTTCGGCCGGTATCTCACGAATAAATGCTTCACTGTGGTCTTCCAATGCGTCAATTGAAGCGGGCTCGTCTGTATAGACATTAGATTTAAAATAGCCCCACAAAAAATAGTCTAAAGGGCGTTAAATCGCAGGATAAAGGAGGCCAATTGACCGGTCCCGAACGTAATATAGAATGTTCACCGAACTCGCCTCTCAATAAGTCCATTGTTTCTTATGCGTAGTGTGTGGTATATGGCACCGTTTTGTTGAAACTACATGTCACGCAAGTCAAGCTCTCTCATTTTGGGCAAACAAATTTTTGATATAATTACGCGGAAGCGCTCAACATTCACAGCTACGTTACGATTCGCATCATCTTTGAAGAAGTTCTGCCCAATGATGCCACCAGCCCATAAACCGCATCATGACTTTTTTTGGACGAGTTGGTAGCTATGCAATGCTTCTGACTGATCTTCACTCTAAAATCGACAATTCCATTAAGCCAAAAATGAGCTTCGGCGCTGAAAAGAACTGAAGATGTTTGACAGTGATACAAAACACGAAACATGCGTCAGCTTTTCAAACCAGTATTGCCAAAAAGATAATAGCTAAAAAATCACCCTTTACTAGATATTGTGTTGCCCAAAGCTATATTGTACGTCCACTTCGTTTGAAAGATAAAATCCAAGGGAGTGAAGCTCGATCGGTTGAACTGAGCATTAGCTACAGAGCAAACGGGGTCACCGTTAGTGCTTTAGTTTTAAGGAATCCCCGCAGGGTCGCATTCTTAAGTTAATAATATTAACACCGTTTTGATTACATTTCAAGTTAGATGTATAGATTTTAATTATTTTAGTAAAGATAGGTTTTTTTAGCTTGATTCATGGTTATAATTAATCCAGCTACTAAATTAGTTTCTCTTTGTTGAATTATAAGCAGTTTGTTAAATTAATGAATGACTAACTGGGACAACCACTTCACTTAAAAAATATTTATAATTTAGGTCTTATTTCTAGCGTACGTATGTAATATTTTCCATAGAATATTTTTTTATACTATTGTTAAATTACAACCTCTACTGCTCAGTTCATACTTATTTTTATTGTATATTAATGTATAAAGTTCATTTGAGTTTAGGCAGACGCAGTTGCCGAGTGACAAGCATTGCATCCTGTCCTTCTGAAGGTTAAAGTCCTGCTTCGACCAACATCCAATATTATAGAAAGTAATTTTTCTAAGTGTAGGCCCCTCCAATTGTTGTAGAAGCATACCACATATTGGTGGCTTCACTGGCTATAAAGCGCCAGTTACATATGTACCAGGTGTGACCAGAAAATAACTGTTATTTTAAATTTTTTCAAAAAGTATTATTTATTCATCAATAACTATCGTGTCCCCAGTTAAGTAATCCCCCTCAGATATAATACACTTATGCCAGCGTTTTTTAAAATCCTCGAAACAGTGAAACTGGGTTTTCCGTATCGCCAATAGCTTATGTTTCGATTTTTCTTTTACCTCCTCAATCGTAGCAAAACGCTTTCCTTTCATCGGTGTCTTCAATTTTGGGAAGAGGAAAAACTCAGCGGGGGCCAAGTCCGGGGTATAAGGTGGTTGAGGCATGATGTTTTGGCCAAAAACTATGCACAACATCGATGTGTGAGGTGGTGCGTTATCATGGTGCAAAAACCGTGATTGTTTTTTCCACAATTCTGCGCAACTCTAACAAATTGCTTCGCGCAGATGGAAGCTACTAGGAATACTTCCCTCATTGATCTTACGACCTTTTGGCAAGAATTCATGATGCCACGCCATTCCAGTGGAAGAAAACACTGAGCAAAACCTTCACATTTTGCCGATCTTGACGAGCGTTTTTCGCAATAGACATGTGTACCAACCAAACAGAAAAAAGCGAAAATCGAACATACATAACTCACGAAATTTTAAAATATTTTCTGATCACACATCGTATATTAAGTTTAAATGAATCACCCACTTCACTTAATTTATACATTTGTGTTTATTCCTATATTTTTTAATTAAATTTGGTTTTTTCGTTTCAGTCTGTCTTTTTTGTTGTTGTTGTATGTATTAATGTCGTTTTAGTTATTTGAATTTTCTTGTATTTCATTGTTTTAGTCTCGATATATAGTGTATACATATATGTACATATCGTTGAAGTGTTTGTTCATATTGTTATGTAAAATTTTCGAAATTATAAGTGTAAGTGTTTATGTATATAGGGTTATCTAATTCGTGGTCTCAAAGTGATGGTTGTATTTTTGCATCTGTCAAACTGAACTGTCATACCAAACATGTTTTATATTAGTTAAAATATTGATTCAAAAGTTGCCACTTTACAGCGAGTTTTCTATTGAATTTTTTTGTTCAACAATCGCAAAAATCGGTAACCTTGTATAAGTAAAGTATGAGTAGCATATATATATTATTTAGACTTATCAGAAATGAAACACGCTTATTAACGCTCGATATTCAATTTGCCCTTTAATGACTATACCATAACGCTGGTCACAAAGAACTAACTAGAAGTTTAGAACGTAAATGAAAATAAGTGGAATATAACAGTGACAATTCAAGGTTGCATGAAATAATACTAATACAATATTTTTATAAAATGTATATTGGTAGTCGAAACTAGTCGTTGAACATTGGCAATGATTGGTGTTGTTTAAACTTCTTGTTAGTACGTGTGCTGGCATATCTTCGGCCGGCATATAAGTAAGCGAAATCTTTCCGCTTTGATACCATTCTTTGACGAAATGATGGCGCACGTCGATGTGTTTCGTACGCGAACTGTAGCCTAAGCACTGAATGAGTTTCTGAGCGTTTTTACTATCATTGAACAGCGTTACAATTCAAGATGATATCCGTAAGTCTTTTAGAATACCTTGGTGCTACATTGCATCTTTCGTTGCTTCTGTCATAGCCATATATTCGGTTTCGGTGCTGGAAAAAGCGATGATACGCTGTTTGCGCGCCTACCTGCTTACTGCTGCTTCTGCTATAACAAACGCGTATCCGCTGTAGGATCGCCTATCGATCAAGTTCGCTCCCCAATCTGCGTCAACAACACCTTAAAGTATTTTGTTGGTTTGTACGAATAGAATGCCGTAGTTTTTGGTGCCATTCAAATATCTTAGAATTCGCTTTGCTGCTTTCCGTTTTAGCTGGTATACATTCGGCCCTTTTGAAACGTTGTAGAATGGTTTGTATATAACTTTTTTGCAACAAAAATATTTTATGTTCGCCCAAGTTTTGCTGGAAGTCAACACCCAGGACACGTATCACTGGACCGATATCCTTCATCTCGAGGGACTCGCTCAAAGCTTTTTTCTCTCTTATAAGTCACATTTTATCGTTTGACGCTAATAACAGTTCATATATCATACATAATTTGTGATAAGTAATATCTGTTTACCTTTTTGTTTAGTAAAAAGACATGGATCTTGCGTTGAAGCCTTTAGTCCAATCTGCTTTAATTTAGTTGTTAAACGATTGTACCACATAAGACCTGATTGTCGAAGTCCAAACAACGCTTTCTTTAGTAGACATACAGAACTTTGTTTCTGTAATCTAGCTAACCATTCATCAGTTGTTTTTTCGACGTTTTTATTACATTTGCTTAAACCATAACGGCCTACTCGTTTACCTATTTTTATTTTGTTTAAAACTTCAAATAACATATCTGCAACTCCCATGCATAAAGATTCATCGAGTTCTCCGTTGAGATACGCTGTGACTACGTCCATTTGGTGGATTTACAAATTCTTTTCAGCTGCTAAGCTGCAGGTAAAAGAATTGACGTAAAACGTGCTACTGGCGAATAAGTATCGTGGAAACCCTCCCCATTTCGTTGGGCGTATCTTTTAGCCACGAGACGCGCTTTCTTCTTACCATTTTCTTTGGTTTGAAATGCCAAGTGACTTCCAACTACTTTGCGTTGGGTAGGTCTATCGACGATGACCCAAGTTCGTTTTTAAATTAGTGACAAGTATACATCTTCAATGGCCTTTTGCCATTCTTCTTCCCGACTTATCACGTTTGCTGCAGATTAACTTGATAAGGTTTATTTTATTGTAACTCACGCCGCTTCATTACTTTTAAGCTTATCGGCTTCAGTTTCGCAATTACTGTCTATCAATATTTTTAATAATACGATAAACCTTTTTCGGTCTTCCACGTAAGCCCGTTTTCAATTTTTTCGGACGATCTTTACCACGTTTAGTGTTCATTCACATTCCGATTCGTCAATTTCTTGCGAGCACATCGGTACCTTCGACAGTTTCACTTTCTAGTTCAAATATTTCTTTGTATTCATTTTTGAACATCTCGACTAATTATAATATTTCTTTTGTCTTTTAAATATATATATGAATATCCAACAAACACACAGTTCAGATCGAAACTCGAATTTTCCTTTCGAATGTTTATTTCAGTACATATGCCTTTGAGCCAAACACTTTCATATGATGAACTGTGGGAGTTTTACCAGTCCACGTTTTGTGAGCGACTTCTCCCGCAGATTTTGTAATGCAACGGTTGCGGATGTAACACGAAGTATTTATTGCTTCCGCCCAAAACGAAGGAGGAACACCGGCTTGCTTCATTAAGCACCTAGCCATCTCTACCAGTGTTCTATTTTTACGCTCAGCTACTTCATATTGCTGTGGAGTGTACGGTGCTGTTAACCGTCGTTTTATACCGTGTTCTTGTAGATACAATTCGAAATCACGATTACAATACTCGCGCTCGTTATCGCTTTGCAGCGCTTTTACCATTTTACCCGCAAATGTCTCTGCCTCATTCGTGAACTTTTTGAAAGCTTCTAAAACTTCTAAATTTTTCCTTTGATAAAAACTATTTCACACCAACGTGACTTATCGTACAACGCATCGGACCGCAAACGTTACTATAAACAATTTCTAGTAAATTTTCTGTTCAGTTATCAATATTTTTGGTAAATAATGCATTCGTTAGTTTTTCAATTGCGCACACTACGCTAGTCGACAAATCATATTTTAAGTTTATTTTGAGTCCGTTTACATCATAATTTTTTGACTTGTTTAAGTCACGCTCGTTCAGATGGCCCATTCGGCAGTGCCGCAGATTAATTTCACCTATGGGTTGCGACAAAAACGCAATGTTTTTATAATTTTTCATGAAACATAAATTACTATTACGTTCTGCAGTAAACAACACTTCTTTATTTTTGTCAATCACAACTGCATTATTCTTGCAAAAATGTAGCTCGTACAGACAATAATTGTGAGTAAATCTGATAAGTCTCTTATTGTTATATTTTTTTTTCATAACCTTTTCCATCCACTTTCACTTCAATGTCACCTTTCCCAGTAAGTTTGTTAGCTAAATTTAATACTTGGTTTACTTCAACCACATCAACGTAATTATTTTTATTAGCCCACTGTCCAAACAAAAGAAAACTGATTCTGCTGCTCTTAAAAACGAATTTTTCTCTTGACTTTTATTAGCTCTTTCATTAGTTTGGTTTTTCGATCGGCAATATCTTGCGTAGTAACCGCTTTTAGCACACTTCAAGCAACAAAAATTTCGTTTTGGTTCTACTCATTTTTCATTTTTTGTTGTGTACATCGCTCTTTTGCATGTTTTTTATGTACAATATAAAGGATCACTCTCTACTGTTCTATTGTTTTTAGCTTTTCGCGATTCCCACTCTTCTAATATTTTAACACGTAACATATCAGGGTTTGGCAAATCATCGGGCGTTTCAAGCGCACATTGGAATGTTTCATATGAGTCCGGTAAACTGTATAATAACAATATTGCAAGTAAATCATCACCAATTTCTTTGAGCTTCGCAACTGCGTCGAAGAAATCATTATGATGGTTTCTAACTAAATCTGTATCTTTCATACGTGAGAGCGCTACTCTTTTCAACAGTGTTGCTTTTCGAGCAGGCCTTATCTACTCAAATGTAGCTTGCAACTTTTGCCACATTTTCCGCGAATTGCTGCACTCTGCTATGAGATTCAATTCTGCTTCACTAATTGCTAGCATAATGTCGGCACATGCTTTTTGTTCATTTGTTTTCCACAAAACTGCGCAAACTGTATCATCCGAACATTCTATATTACCGTTCACTTATGCCCATAAATCGTTTTTGTTTAGGACCGCACACATATTTAATTTCCAAATGTCGTAATATTCCGCATTGAGCTGCTGGATACGAACGCCTCCCGACATGTTTCCAATTTTCTTGAAATTTCTTCGATCGATCGATTTTTAATTTATCTTTTAATGACTATACTTTAACCCTTTTTTACAAAGTTTAAAGTTGTTTAGAATGTAAATGAAAAGAAGTGGAGTATAGAAGTGAAAGAAATAGTACGAATACAATATTTTTTAAATTACTTTGCTGCGACAACAGGACCCACTATTAGATTTTAAAATATTTCTAATTTTATGTAGTCAATTTTTAATTTTAAATAACTTGTTTGGAAAAGGTTTTATAGTTTTAATTTTTGTTTTTTGATTTATCATGTTCAAAAGGTTTTTTATATTGTCACACAGCTACAACTATAATTATTAAATGTAAAATTTTTATGTTTTTAAATATGCATTTTTTTTAGTCAAATTATAATGAATTTTTTTTTCATTTTGTTATATATTTTATTGATATTTATATGCTTACATATTTGATTATTCGGAGTCACGGGCGCCATTAAAAGTCTCCCCTTAATAGTCACACAAAAAGTGTCGTCAGAGTATTTTACAAAAATAGATTAGGGAAAACTTTTCGACAGTGTACCAGTCTGTTTCCCGAGGTAACTTATAGTTTTCGAATAATTTGTTGTTAAAGTTTCAATTTTCACCAATCAAATTTTACAATAAAAGCTAATATATGCTCACGGAGCACATAAATGTCGCTTAGAAACGCATTGCTATTAGCATACATGGTCGGTCGAACTCACGGTAATTAGCATTAAATAGCTTTTTTCCAAAACTTCATTTTTTCTCTTCTTGGAATTTTTTCTTTAATACACCGATTTATGTTAGTTTTTGTTCTATTGCTTACCTGAAAGGATGCCTGCCTATGCTTCTACAGATGTTGGAGTACATATTTTAGCAGATATGTTTTGTTGGTGTGTAAAAAACTGTACCATTTGCTTTTGAACTGCTTTTGCTGAGAAAAAGATTAATTATATGTATTTTTCCTTCAATTTTAATTACCATAAATTTTAAAGAAAAACCACCGAAACAATGCTTTATGTTTTCCTTAAAAGATTCGATTCTAAATTTATATGTACATGTAATTTTTATCACACTAAATATGAGTAAAATGTTAAGTTCACGATGAAAACACTTTCAAATAAATAACTTTACTGAGAATAAATTTAATTTTTGTAAAAACTCCTCATATGTTAATTTTAATGTGCCTAACATTTTTGATTAAAGATGAAAGGGACGAAAAAAATATTACATTTAATTGGACTTTTTATTTAGCTTTTCACTTTTTGGCTATGTAGAATAATTGAATCAAACCAATTACCGCAATGTATTTGTATATTGTTTAATTAATAGAAATTTTAAAAATTCTAAAACCATTTAAAATTCCGTATATTTAATAAGCAAATGAATGTGAATATTTTTTAACACCCCTCCGAGTGTTAAGTAAAATAAAGGCTCCTCTTAAAAAACTGTTCGGAGGCGGGTAGTATAAACTCTAGGTCTCTCCATTTGTTGAGAAAACATCAAGATAAATACCACAAATTGTAGAAGGAGCTCGGCCAGATATCGCTTTAGTGGGTACAAAGAGTGTAACAGTAATGAATATAATCGAAAAATACAAATATTAAAGAACCCTTTCCCAAAAAGAAAAGTTATATTCTTTTTTAAAATACGTGTTTATCTACACAAAAAGCTAGCTATATACCAATTCTTTTTTATTTCGAATATTTCGGTTCGTGGTCCACTACTCTGAGAGAAAAGTAGTATTCATGTTAGCCTATGTTACATATGTATATGTATACGAAATTTCAGGTGAATTGAGACATATATACGATTTTTTACGAATGGGCAGTTTCTGTTCCATTTTCCGAAAGAAAATGTAGTGTTCAATTTTAGGAAAAAGATACCTACATATAATCCAAATTACTCTGATCTGCAATTGTAAGTGCATACCCATTTGGGGGACCACACCTCTTTATAACCCGCATTATAAGAACATATGCGATTTGTCTGTCAGCAAATTCGATTTTATTACTTTTTTCAATTTATTGGGTACATATATATATGTATATATATATCTATGTTATTTCAGGAAATTCGGGATCATTGTGAACGTGAAGCTAGCGAAAAACAATTTGGGACTCTTGAATCGGAAAAGCCATACAACCGATGTTTGAACAGATACAGAGATGTAAATCCATACGATCATTCACGCATCATCATCCATAGGGGTAGTGTAGACTATATTAATGCAAACCTTGTTAAGGTGAGTAAGCTAATCAATGGTTTACATTTATTCGATCGATATTAAAATTTTCCTTTTGGATTTTTCATTTAACACAAAATCCATGGCTTTGAGGACAAGCTAATTACTAACTGCACTTAAACGAGTTTATATATTTAGTTAATTTGTCAAAACCAAACATTTTTGTTCAATTCTCAGTGTCGAAATCCACAAATGTTACTTGTTTATGCATGTGACAAGTACGTTAAAACAAACAAAGAATTACTATTGGGTCTACAATACTTTAAACAAAAATTGTAATTTATAAGAAATTCATAAACTATTTTCGCATTTAAAATTTGAAAGTGTAAATTACATTTAGTGAAAAATTACCAATCTTATTAAAAACAGTTCATATTTACCGAAATGCTTAAAAAAGTGAAATTAGTTACGATGATAGAGTTAGAATTCAAGTTATAAGTGAAGAAGGTAAGTATCAGGTTGAGATTGCCAATTTGGTGGGATGCTCCCGGTGCGCGGTCCAATGTGCTATCAGATGATTTGTGGTGACGAAATCCCATAATAATAAATCAAAAAGTGGAAGAAACGAGAAGACCGAACACTTATACGCGAGTCTCCCAAGGATCGCAAAAAATCTTCTTCTGCCCTTGCAGCTGCCCTTTCGGATGAATTTAGTAAATCAGTTAGTGCTCGAACAGCTAGAAGATGTAAAGCCCGAAAGAAGCCGTGGCTCTCAGAAAGAAGAAAAATCGCCGATATCAACATTTCACGAAAGATGATTAGTCGAATGTTCTGTGGTCTGATGAATAAAACTTCGAGGTAAGTTTAGTTAAGATCGTCTTAAAGTATTAACAGCCATAACTTCTTATCCTAAAGCAATTTTGAAGACAATACAAATCTTATGAAGACATTGTTTTTTCTTTTCTACAGATATTTTGAACACCTGGTGTGACGATCGTGCGGCGAAGGGTTGGGGAAGAATATCATCCAGATTGCGTGGTACCCACTGTTAAGCATGCAGAAGGCAGCATTTGATCCGGGTCTGCATTGCTGCTGATGGTGTCACCTAAATGTTCATTTGCGAGGGTCGCATGGACATTTAAAAGTACATAAATGTATTAGAAGCTATTCTTCTGCCTTCGTTAAGGCGCATTTTCAGCAAAATAAATCAGCGACTCCGACGCGTTGGTTTATAGATAACAACATTGTTTTATTAGATTTACAGTCTCCAGATTAAGAAACACAGTATAACATCAAAAACTGCCTTAAGAATTGCTGCCGTTATTAAATCGAAGGGTGGACCTACTAAATATTGATGTTTTTATCGCTAATTGATTGTATTTTCACTGTTTTACTAATAAAACTTTTTTACTTCACTTGTTAAAACAAAATATTCAGTAATTAGTGGGGTGCTTAACACTTTTGAACATAAACTATTTTTGGTCATACACAAATTTTAAGTTTAATCAACTTCATCATACATTTATTTCAATATAAATTCGATTTTTTCGGAAAAAAAAGTTTGAGTTTTAAAATAATACAATTTCTAGAGTTTTTTATACCTTTTATGAAAATGAAATATACATACATATATTAATTTTGATTCTGTCTGTGCGCAAACCATTCGCTCAGGTTTTTAATATATATCAACCAAACTTGGATCAGAATGACGAGTTAAGTTGATTTAGTCATGACTGTCCGTCCTTATGTTTGTGCGCAAACCAGTCCTTCAGTTTTTGAGATATATTATAATATCAACCAAACTTGGTAAGCAAGTATATTTGTAAACTATATTAATCAGACCGGACTACATTAACATGTAGCCCCGACAAACGATTTGTTCAAATATTATAAGTAGATTTGGTTATAATAATCAAATCAATAAAGCATCTAACGACATGAAATTTGGTATTCCACATATATAAATTGCATATTGCTACTGAAAATCGTCGAAATGGGAATAATGTATTTATATGGCTCATATACAACTGATTTTTTCAGATATGAGATTTTGAGTAAAAAATATAATATACAAATAAAAATCGAAATAGGAACAGTATATCATATAATACTATTCAACCGATTTGTTCATGTAAGAGAATTCATATTTAATCCTATTTATATATGTATACGTATGTATATACGAAACCGGCTTGAAACGGCTAATGGATTTTTATCAAGGGAACTATTTTAAAGATACTCTCGTAGGTGTTAACATTACCTGCTAACGGAAGGCCACAATTACAAAAATTAACTTTTTTCATTCATATTAATATAATTTTTGCGTTTTGGTCGGACCAGGACTCGAACTGGACTTCAAAATGGCTGTTCGTACTGTTAACCACCTGGATTTCGCAGCCGTAATAAATTTTACATGGTTATGTATTTCGGTATTTAATGAATAGGGAGGGGATCTTATTGGCATTATACATATGTGAAACACTACATCATTCAAATGACCGCCTAGCGAATTTTTAGCAATCTTCGATCCGTTTGAGGAAATTTTCACCATTTTTTGGCACATATTAGGCGGTGTATCAGGAGTTAAAGAGTTAAACATTTAACAGCATAAACCCGATTTTTCGTGTAGCCCCACAAAGAAGTTCGACAGTATCCTATTGACATCGCCAAGACGAGAAATTACTCTGTACTTTCGCTCGCGTTGTGTGACTTGTGACCTCATCTTCTTGAAACCACATTTTATCTACGTCGTGTTCTTCAATTGCAGGATAAAGGGTAGTTATGATTCAGGCATAACGCTCCGAATCATAGTGACAGTCGCCGATGTCGTTTTCAAAGAAGTAAGTTTCAATCTCACCTGGAGCGCATCAGACTGTAAGGTTTTTCTTATTGTAATGCATTCTGTTTGAGGATTTTCAGAACCTAGAAGCGAAAATTTTTCTTATTTACCTATGCCCCGAATAAGAAATTTGCCTCGTAGCTGAAGAAAATCCTGTTCACAAAATCGCCATCCATTGCTTGTTGTTCAAATACCCAATCGCCGTATGTTCGGCGTTGTTTCAACAATGTTAAACTGTTCTGCGGTTGCTAAGCGATCCATATTCATTTCATAAATTGCTGACTTTTGACTAAAAGAAAACATTTAATTCTGATAGTTGTGCGCTGTACTTTTGAAACCAAGAAATGGATGTGTATCTTTGGTGCGACAAGATTGTGGTCAGATTCGTTGCTACCCCCTCGAATCTAACGAGAACATTAAATAAAAGGCTTCCTTCAACAATAGCAACGAGATTTTCGGTCCAGTGGCAGCCATGTACCGACCACCATTATTTGGTCCCATAGTAATCGATCAACCCACCCATTTGAAATGTACATATCCAATGTACAATTCTCAACAGTTATGCTAGGTATACTTTATTTGCTTACCCCGCGCCCCCTGAGAGCATATTCGGTCACGTTGAAGAATTTCGCTACTTCATATGTTCGCTATAGTAAATTTCATGGGCACCAACCTTTGTGTTGTGGTTGCGGTCGTTAAAAACGGAAAAATATCAGCATTTTACTGCTATGTTTACTGTACTATAAAAAGTAAGTGGTATTATAATTTACCATGAGGACGATTTGATATTGTCACTTTTATTATGTGTTGAAATAGAATTAGTTGTTTAACCGTAATGTGCATTTAATTTAAGTTGATCTAGCAATCCGTCTCAATTCGTTTAAAGGCCTTAACGCCGACAAACGTATTTAAATACAATGGAATTTGAAATATCGATCTCGCACTCTGCTGTATTGTTTTTATTCCAACAAGTGGTTATGGGTCCAGCCCATCGCAAATAAAGAAAAGAAGTGGAACACAAATAACCAAAATGCACTAACTTGCATTATTTTAAATGTAAAACCAACGCAGTTGCAACACATTAAACATTGTGCTACAGCTGCATAGCGAAAATTGCGTGAAGTCCAGTTGTATCAAAAACGTTTATGCTTACAAATGCCACCAAGTGACGACGTTATTGTGCCCAAAGTTATTAGTTAGTGAACACGGCTGAGTTGAACATCATGATTAGTTACGAACATAAAGCATAACGCTTTTGTCAAGAATCCCAAATTCATGTGAGAAGTTTGTAGTCGCAATAACACTCGCGACAACATTCCGCTATTCGTTACGGTGAAATTGAAAATGTGCACAAAGAACAGATATAAATGAATCGGCATTAAACAGCTGCACAAATGCATTCGTATTTGGAATATTGCGAATGAGTAAGAGAAATGGATAACGCACGAAGTATCCCTTATTTTCGTTCCGATGCTCTATGGTTTTGCCTTTTCAACTTCAAATAAGCGATTAATTGAGAGTATTCCATGTCAAGAGCAGCTACGAATAAAAAAACACCATGCGGATTTCCTTAACCACCTCGAGCATCGACTATATTCGACGGCCACAGATGGCCCCACACAGCCGATCGTCGGCTATCGTCGACGGCCATGACATGGCTATGTCGACAGCGAGGAATTTTATCCTATTTCTTCAGTTGCGCAGTGTTCTGTCGTATAATTCTAGTTTCGTTAAATGCATCAAAGATAATGTCAGAGCGCAGAAAAATGTGCATTTTTTAAAATATTTTCAAACCTTGCAATACGGTGAAATTATACTTTAGTATAATTGAACAAAAAATTTTTATAATAGTTTTGTTATTATAATTAATTATTAAATTTACTTTTTACTCTCTTAAAACCCAATTTTTATGAAAATGATGAAAATTCTATCCGACTAGCTCCTCCTTAACTTAATAGATATTTTTTTAATCCACTATTACTGTCACATATCTACATAGTATTCTTTTAATAAAAAAGTTAAGCCTTTCGTACCTATTTACACTATTTTTTCCAAAAAATTGCCTCTTAAATTGTGCATTGAGTACTTAAAATAATATTTTTTGTAAGAGCTTGAACCATTTGTGGGCTGGGGTTCTTGTTCTTTCTCCAACGAAGCTAATTTGAATGCACACTTCTGTTGAAAATAAAAAAAAAAAACGCACTCACTTCAAAATTAGTTTAAAATAGATTGAATATTGCAGCTCACAATTTTAGTTCACAGCTGACTGTGATCTGTGAGCTTGTAATTTGAGGTAGCAACAAAACCTAATCGAGGCCCAAAGATAATAGATAAGTGGAAAAGTTTCATATCATATTATCTTTGAAATGCATCGAGCACCACGGTACTGTGAAGTAGGAGTTATATTTGAATGCCGGCCGTGGGCACCGTTTTGTGGTCGATAGGCACCATACCGAAGGGGTTAATTCATGAGCACAGCACAATTTACTTTGAGAAAAAAAAAACTTCTTTCTTAAAGTGTTTGTTTTGGCGTCAGCCAAATAATGTTTTTTAAATATTTATGTAGCGGAAAATGATTTAAAAAATGTAATTTTACCCAAATATGTGTGTTGAGCGCAATTCAAGAAAATGGGACGTAACAACTTTTCCTGAATTTTACTAAATCATATTCGTTGAGACAAAACCCAGTAAGATTATTAACGAGAGAGAGAGAGAGAGCTTGGTTAATAGAGAAAGTTGCAAATTCTTGCTGGGAAAAATTCAGCCAGCAAGTATGAAAAACAGTTGATTTGTGATCGTATGATTGAATTTCTTTTCAAAAAATTGATTTAAAATTGGCAATGGTAACAAACGATTCAATTAAATAGTTAAGGTACTCCTTAAATGGAGTGAAATCATCGCTAGCACACCACCCAGCTTGAGAGTTAGAAACCTGGAAGGCATAGAATTAGAATATAATATCATTTCTTGTACAACACTAGTTGATTTTGGACTTCTATAATTTACTAGGAAGCAGTGGCGACTTTGTGGCTACGGTCGCAATGACGATAATGCATTTTTAAGCTTCCATTAACATTAGTCGCGTTTAAAAGCATAAATAAAGCTTTTGCTTGGATTTTATAGAACAGTATCAAAGAAATTCTATGACAATGTTCAGTTAATATTGCCGATATACGGCAAAATAGTTTCAAACTCACTATCGTGTTTCAATAATCCATGCTTTGCAAAGCAAATCCTTCATAAATTTTCGTCCTTTTAAAGGACTTTTAGAAAAATCATATTGGTATCTTTATCGTTTGGTGAGTATAAAATATGCAGGATTTTATCATTGCTGAAATACAATAATTCTTGAATAAAATTAATGAGAAAAATGTCATGTAATTGCCAAAATTTTTTAAAATACTTAAAAGTAAATAGGAAAAAGAAATAAATGTATTCTCATTTAACCGCCAAATGAACTGTGTATTTGCCTCGAATTACATTGTCTAAAAGAAGAAGAATTGGATACATCTATCCATAATGAGCATAACGTTGAGCAGATACCTGGGTGTAAAATAATTTGTGATGAAAGCAACAACGAATGTGTCAACTCCGGCGATGTAATGGATACCTGCGGTTTACGTAGAAAATATGAAAGCTCCAACTTTAACACTTCTTATAGCCTATTTCCATCAAGCACTTAAATGCATTTAAGGCCTCTGTCAAACAGCTGATTTTTGTTTACGTTTGCAGTTTGCAAAATTTGTCACAATTATTGAAATCATGAATTCAAGAGACCGCCTTCATTTTATTTGGCTATTTATGCAATCTTATGATTTATTATGCTGAAACGAAAATGTTTTTATGCATGTTTCCATTTTCATATTTGCTTGTTTGTTCCCTCAAATTATTTATTTTGAGCAATCAGCTGATAGCTACCAGAGCCACGTATATTTTTATGTCGATGGGATCGTTTGATATTTCACAATTACTTTTTGTTTTTTTCTTAGTTTTTTTTTTTTTAAGGAGGAGAAGCATTTTCTTCGCCAATTACTTAATATATGCATTTATTTTAAAACTAATGCAAAAAAGTAATTTTTACACTAAAAATTTCACCATGCAAAATAAAAGTCTTTCCGTGTTGTCTTGACTGTTAACTGTTAACTGTTAAATTGCCGAAAATTCCCAAAGTGAGTTAACTCACTTCTATACAACAACAAACACATGGGAATTACCGCATTTAAATGCGATGTTTAAATGCATTTAACGCCCGGTGGAAATAGGCTATTAGGCTACCCCCGTGTGCTTTTCATGCAGCCCTTAGTTCCAGCCAATGTCCTTAGGTAAAAGGTAAAGGGGAACTCTAAGAAAGCATACACTCGCAAGTCATACAAACATAAAAATGTGCACACTAGCAGACTACCAAAAAAGATTTGCTGACAAAGAAAAAAAATGGTATTAAGTCACGTTAAGTATTGTAGAAAATTAAAAATATGTTTTCCTTGCTTATTTTAAACAGTTAAACATTGTTAACTATTTCCAAGCACTCACCACGCTTGGCTTCTATGATGGCAATTGATTAGATGCTCCATATTCCCCAACAGCAAATTTAGTTGGTTTTTGCCATATTGGAATACAAACTTGGCGGTTTATTTCCAATTCACAATTTTATTAACAAAAGAAATCTTAGCTGATATAAGGTTTAACTATAAAGTATAAATAAGGAGAAAGAAGGAAAGAAGAAAATAGTAGACACCGCTTACGCGATTATAGCCGATTTACAACAGTGCGCCATTCGTTTTTTCTTTTTGCTATTTGGCGCCAATTGGAAATACCAAGTACAGTCAGATCCTCCTCTACCTGGTCTTTCTAACGGAGTGGAGGTCTTCCGCTTCCTCTGCTTCCACCGGCGGGAACACTGGAGGCATGTCTTCCGTCTACGGCAACATGATCGATCTGGTTTTGTGTTTTTCGATCAAGGAACAGCCAATTAGCTTGATGTATTTTATTTGTACTGGAATCTAGTACTACTACTACTACTAGATGTTTCGTTGTGAAGGCTAAATTGTCCAACAGTCGTACCAGAGATACCTTCTTTGCCTACCCTGGCATTAAAGTCGTCAAACACGATTTTCACATCGTGGCGGGGGCAGCGCTCGTAAGTATGCTCTAGGCACTCATAAAACGCATCTTTGGCCAAATCGTCTTTCGCTTAGATGCGGATTGTGGCTAGACGCTCATCCACCGGGGTGAATGCCAGTACTCGGCGACGGAGTCTCTCCCACTACAAATCCAACACCAAATTTGCGCTCCCTTATATGGACGCTGTAGTAAATGTCCGAGAACTTACTCGCTCTTTGGTCGGCGGTGATGTCAGCCTTCATTCTTAAGAGGACATTAACCAGCTGGGCAGCGGCATCATCCCAATTAAGGGGTCAGACATTCCAGGTGCAATCCTCAAATCGTCATCCGAGATGTTGTAAACATTTCCATTGGAGCCGGTTTCTACGTGGTGGGTCCCCAACCCAGCACTCCACCTTGCCCGCTCGCAGCCGCACCTCTGGTGAACAGACGCTGTAATTAGACTTCGGAGTGGCTCCACTGAAGCTTACTCTCTCATTTGCCCTGAAGCAATGCTCCACGCGGATTGGTTACCGCATCTTGCACGTGACCAATTTCCAGGCTGCGCGACGTGGACGCAGAGTAGGAAATGAGTATAGCCTCGCAATTGTAACCGTATACCCAGAAGATTGAATACACCCCACTTACACACATAGAGCACAACAATTATAGCGCTAAACACATAAACAAACGAGAAAAAATTTTGATGAGGTCTAAGAGAAAAATGTGAAGTTTAAGTTGAGCAAAATAAATTTATCCGCATACCTTGATTTTAATTGTATGTACGTGTATGTACATGCGAAATTGAACCAAAAGTAAAGCAATGGGTATTAACATGCATGTATATATCATTATATATTTATATATATATATATATATAGCAGAACTTAAACCTTGAATATAGAGTAATGCATGTATAATTGAAAATAAAGTAATATAGGCTTTTGAAGAAAATTACGATGAATGTACACACAATATTACAGTGGCGGAGTGAAGCGCTTCCCTAGTTGCTGTAAAGATGATCTGCGAATTATATTCCTCTAGATTTGGGATAATTTAATTATATTTATATATATTGTATCGTAATATAACACCAATAATTTAATCACTTTATATTTTCTATTAAATATTCTCCATATATTTAAAACACTGCATTCATTTTCTTTTTCCACGTAAAATAGATACATTGTTCCTTTTCTATTTTACTCCACTAATACTTGCATAATTAATATAATTAATTTTCAATAAACGTAAAAATATTTAATATTGCTTTATATTAAACTATAAAACTACGGCGTTTCTTTACTTTGTAAAAGAAAACGGACATATTATTTAACTTAAGAAGAAGTGTTGAAAGTATTAATCATGTAAGCTTAATATGTATTTTATTTAAGTTGATATTGCAATGTTACGCATATATGTTAATCAGCATATATATATATATACACCTTGCAGCTCGAACATGCTGATCGAAAATACATTCTAACACAAGGGCCGCTCATCGACACGGTTGGTCACTTTTGGCTCATGGTATGGGAGCAGAATTCTAAAGCCATTCTTATGCTAAATAAATTAATGGAAAAGAAACAAGTCAAATGTCATCTCTATTGGCCAGATAGGAAGGGTCCTGAAAACGCCTTGAAATTGGATGAAGTTGATTTAAGCGTTGAGTTCCTTCGCTGCGAAGAATATCAAAACTATTGTCGGAGATGGTTTAAGTAAGTTGTGATGGTGATTATTTGTTTTTGTTTTCAATCGTGATATTATTGTTTTTAGATTAACAGATCATGAATCTAACACAAGCCGAGAAATATTACAATTTCACTACACAACTTGGCCAGATTTCGGAATCCCTAGCTCCCCTGTAGCGTTTTTACAATTTCTGAAACAGGTGAGAGACTCGGGCGCACTCGATGCGGATGTTGGACCTGCAGTAGTACACTGCAGTGCTGGTATTGGTCGGTCTGGTACTTTTTGCTTAGTTGATTGCTGTCTAGTCTTGGTTGGTATTTAAAATATGTTTCTAATTTAAAAGTAATTAATTAATTAAGCGTATTTTGTTTTAAATGCAGATCGAAAAAGAAGGCGAAAATAACGTATCTGTACAAGATGTACTCTATGAATTGCGTAGATATCGTATGGGTTTGATACAAACTGCTGATCAATTATATTTCTCATATAGAGCTGTTATAGAGGGAATAAAATTGCTCAAAGATTCAGTAAGTAATCAATATATATTACGGCGGTTAGATTTATAGTGCTGAGCTTCGTATCTTAGAAATCTTAAAAATCTACCCGCTCTTATGTACATATGTTATATTAAATGCGCTACTCTAATGCTAAATAAAATCTACAGGAATTTCAAAATTATAAGGAGGAACCAATTACTAGTACAGATAATCAACATGAATATGACCAAGCAGGTGTAATTTCTGAAAACGACGTACCACCGCCTTTACCACCTCGTATACATTCCCTTACACTGCCAATAGCCGGTTGCGCTTTTAATGCTCAAACATTGCATTTGCATGGAAAGCCCTTGCCAAACATACCAACTAGTGAAAGCTTTAACGACGATTTATACGCTATCACTGACAATGCAAAGCATAACAGCAAAGATGCGTTGAATAACTTAATAAACATCGAAAAAACTGCTAACAGTATAACAAACCGACCGTTGCCTCCTTTGCCACAGCAGACACAGGCTCGACTTACTGAATCTTCCTTACAACGAGTTCATGAATCAGAAAGTGATGAAAATGAATGTCTGAACGATGATGAAAGTGAGGATGATCTTGATGACAAACTTGGAGAACAGAAAAACGACATGTTGGGCGACGATAAGAAAAATGCTAATTTTAGTAACCAATCCAGCTTAACTAATGAACAGATCAACCATAGCATTAGCGCTGAAAATCAGCAATTAAATGAAATGAAATCAAACTGTGCCGGAGTTTCAAATAGCAATCCGTGTACAGTCGGGTATGTTAACAAAACTAGGAAATAACAGTATACCATTCATATTTATTTATTTTTTTTCTTTTGTCAAACAACCTTAGAATTCTCGAAAATGAGTTGAAACGACGGAAACGGGTCGAGCGACAAGCCAACATTGAACAAAAAGTGAACGAGATCAAGCGAAAACAACAAGAATCGGAGGAAAGCAAACGTACGGCGAAGAAACGAAGGTCATTAATTACTTATATTGCTGCGGGTGTTGTTGTGGGTGTGATTTGTGTGTACGCTTACTCTAAACTAGCCTGAGATTTATAATTAAAAGTAAAAACCGGTGGTATAAAATATACTTATTACTACTCCACTCAGAAAAAATTGATAGTTAACTTTGTATCGGTCACTCGCACTAAGCGCTCCATTATCGATTTATACAATGGCACTCTCGCCAATAATATCAATGTTTTTGAGTACATGTAATTATTTAGGTTATTAAAAAAAAGTAGTTGCATAATTAAAGTAATGATTTTGGATGCAGATTACTAAATTTATAACAGAATAAAAATCATTAAGATATAATGTTTAAACAAAATTTACTAAAGATAACCAATTTCTAAAGAAAAGTTTTTAGTATTTGAGTTTCACATTTCAGTTAATATGCATAAACTCCAAATCTAAGTTTAATCCATTTTCTCGATTTCTTTTCGTGAGATTTTAATATTATATTTAAGTCACGATATCTATAAGACACCACACCTTAAGCATTATAAAATCATAAAGCCATAATCATAGTAGCGAAGTCAACTCTAATTTTATGTAATATTATGAGCTTTTATTTCATGTCAGAAATACAATCGGAAGGGTTTATCTTTCTGCTTAGGATCGACTGCAATTAGAAAAATTGATTTTCCATAATTTTGGGTATTGAGCTGACCAAGAATCAGACCCATTACCCACTGCATGGTGGTACGCAGTGCTAATTACTCTCCGCTAACACGCAATCTTCTATGATGGAAAACTTATAATGATATTTATTCATTACTTGTTAAAATAATAATAATATATATTTTATATATTTTGTATTTAAATAGGATAACAAGCGTAACCAAAATTGGACTACCAGAGAGCATTGTTTATAAGAATTTATAAACTGTCACACAAATGTGAAATAGTTTGCAAATGGCCAAGAAGAAAAAATATGCTAAATTTCAAGCATTGTGATTTGGAAAAGATTTTATGTAGATGAAAATGGAAGTTCGAAAGGCGACTCTAATAGCAAACATTTATATCATCAACAAGCAATGCCATGTAATTAGAAATCCTTTTCGGTCATGAGCTGCTGCCCTCTGATATTTATCGGTTCTTCTATTTTTAAAATTTAAAAAAGCTTCTGTTGCTTTATCTAACCTTTAATCTAAAAAAGTATTTCCTTTAAAATGCTTAAACAGAGATTTAACATGTCGAGTACTCCATAAATTTCTTTAATATATGATGTGTTTACCATTAATTAAATTTCACAGAGTTAGCAACAGCATTTCCTCATTCTAACTTTGGAGCGGACTCTAAGCGGTAAAACCGACTAAAGTTAAGTTAAAATGTACTCTTATTTGGAATATGCTCTAATTTTTTTATAGGAGGCTCTAATTAGACTATGAATATGACCTATATATCCATATCAGTATCACTCAATATAGACATAAAATAATTTTTTAATTAGTTTAAATCAAAATTAAAAAAAATATATTTAAATGAAATTAAAATCTTGTAGTCGGAATGGATTAGTGTTTGAGGAAGATTAATGACTGGTGAACGCATTTAGAGAAACTACTTAATTGCGTCTGAATAAAAAGAACAAATCAAAAGGAAATCAAGTACGAAACATACAGTTTAATAGGAATAAGCTTTGGAGGTAATTAATAACAAGGCATTTCCTCGTATCTAACCGATAAACTCGTAACCAGCAAAAGCTGATGACATAATTTTAAAAAGATGCCGTTGTTGTTGTTGTANAAACGGTGTTCTGTTGATAAGACTTTATTTAAACGCCATTCATCGAGAGTCCGTCAACACCTTCCTGAGCTCTTATTATATATATATGTTATAGTTCCGCGTAATACTGGCAAAATTAAGATATTGTGGTATACTATATACCTATACGTATGCAACCCCGACGTTCCCAACTTAAGTCTATAAACAATTGGAGCCCGCACGATACTAACCATCTCTTTGTATACCCCCTAATTAAACCCAACACTTCTAACACCCCTCTCCCTGTGGTCCGAACTAGTTTCCTAGACCCTCCGTTGACTTAGACTGATCCATGCCTGCTCCTAAGCAGGGCTAGTGAACAACAAAAAGAACAAGATACAATTTAGGGAAACGGCAATAAAGGAATATGTCATTTGCAGCATAATTCATAGTATTTTTTCTATGACAGCATTATTTTGTCGTAATTATTTCTTTACATAAGCTTAAAACTTTTTGTAAAGCTTCAAGATAAGATGAAATTAAGATATGTATAAAATAAATGATAAAAATAAAAGCAGTTTTGAATAGATTCTCTCTGTTTAATTCGTCCGCTTGACTCGATAAAATATTGGTTAGTTCTTTCTACTAGTTTACTTCAAAGCCCTCTACTACTATTAAACATTACTCGATTTCTGTCGATTGTTGGTTATCTCCAAACAATCCAATCCAAAAATTGCAACAATTTAACCGAAGGCTAATCCCAATAAATAAAAACAAGTTTGGTAACAATAACATTCTTAGGTCTTTTCGAAATCCCTCTCTTCCTTCATGTGGCCGAACGCTTCCTCTTATATGATCCCTCCCTCCCCTGCCAGATGGAACGTGTTTTCGATTCACAATACGTTTCTAAAACATAAGCATTAAGGACTCAGCGGCGCTGGAATAACAAAGTATTGGAAAAATTCCAAAAAAATATGAGTTCAGAATCACCCCGGGCCCAATGGGAGCAACTGGAACAGAGGTTGGCTAAAAAAAGAAGAGACTCAGTAAGATGCAATAGAGGTTGAGAACGGAACAGAACTCGACGAACTGTCAGAGGGCCTAAACCCCATATGAGCACCGGGAAATGGTTAGGACGTGCTGGTGTCCGATTTCACCGAACATCAGGACAGCTCAGATCAATCTTCACTATTTCTATCGCTCGCTCGACATTAATAACACAGAAAATATCGTTGGAATCATCAATGTCATCACAGAACAATAGAATTCTCCTTAGAGAGATTGGTAAAGTCATTAGAAATGCGACGAAAACTTGGCGATCAAACCCGTAGAAGGCTGTTCGACCTAAACCTTAACCGAGCTAGAAACTTTCAATAACGGGAACAGAAGGTAAAGAACTTTACGTTCGTCAACTTAAGAAAAAGATAACCGGCCCGAGCTCGCGGAATTCACTAATAACTCCTTTAGTGCTCTTTAGTGAACACTCACCCCGCTGTATATATGTGTCCGCTGTCGCCCGCTTCATCCCATCTGGAGGAATTGTGCCTAAACAAGCAGGAGGAATACTTAAGGTCTTGCAACCTCTTCTCTTAAATCGTTATCAAACCCAACAAGACAGATTGTCAACGACCTCAACCATAACCGTCTATACGATCGCTCTCTCCTAATAACTGTTAAAAACTTGTAACACAGCCAATCATTAGTGCTACTATTAGGTTGGAGAGGGGAACCATGGACTACTTGATTGGCTGACAACCATCGGTAGAGTTTCGAGGAGAAACATTTAGCAGCAACTCCTTTGTTTACCTTCCCTCAACCAGACATTTCTCACTTCTTTACTGCAGCTGTACGAATCAGTAACGTCTCGTACTCGATGTAAAAGTCGGTGGCGTAAAAATTCCGACAAAATGACAAAATTAATGAGGGTCACATTCGATTGTCTGCACTTCTTAATTCCGGCTGCAATTGTCATAAAACTGGAAACGCAACGAAATCCACGTTAGACTTGGGAAAATACAAATAAGTGTTTCTGGCAACTTACAATAGCGAAACGCAGATAAAGAAGGTGCAAGCAAGAACTGAATTCCGCACTACGTACAATAACCGTTGGACAGAACGACTTATCAATAGGCTTTAAGCTCGTATTTGCCATTATCCCATTAAGACCTTGTTGAACCCTCTTTCAGTGAACGGCGTTCTCCGAGTCAAACCACCACCCATTGCAATCGAGCCCGACGTACCAAAAGTAAGTGCAGTATGCATGCCTCTTAAAACTCAACTAAGGGGGGCTCTTCTAGACTGAAACCGTTGAAACAACTTGTTCCCTGGGACTCCGGCCTATTCCTAAGCGGAGTTAGTTTGCCGCTACAACAACAATTTGAAAATCGATCAAATCGTATACCGTATGGGAATGTGTCGGTAAATGCAGTTGGCGAATGAAACAAAGTCGAACTCATTGGGTTCCACGACTTAAAGTATCACGACACCGGGATTCTGATTTTAACATGTGCGTTTGCACAAGTTTAATTTACAGTATTTTTCACTCCCGGTTTGCCTTGGTGATATAAATAATAATGATCGACCAGAACCGTTGCCCGAATTTATATGGCAATTCGATCAACAAATAGCAAACAGGGAATGGAACACAGCGTTGCAATTTTATTCAGTTACAAAAATCTTTGACTATTACAGAGTTACCAGAATTACATTAACAATGAACTTATGCTTATGGCAAAACATATTTCGCTAATCTATGACATCCCCGCCCCCGTGAATTGACCCCGATTCACTACAAACTACATCCAGCTTAGCAAGTTTGGACGCAGGTCGTTGGATCGTTCCACACGAAGTCGACACGTCGGCCCGACGCACCTGACCATCTTTCCCAGGATACACCGTCTTTACCCGGCCGCGACGCCACTCCTTTCGGGGTACCTTGCTGTCACAGATTAAAACAAGATCACCTTCTTGTAACGGCTTCGTTGGAACACACCACTTCGTCCGACGGGTCAACGTTGGTAAATACTCTTCTACCCACCCTTTCCAGAAGGAATCTCGCATCTGCCTGGCCACTCGCCACTGCTTCCGTAGGTAACAAAGCTTCTGATCGGGTTCGTCACAACTTGGTGTCTGCGCAGTATTCGCACTGCCCAGCAGGAAATGGTTTGGCGTCAAAGGCTCTCCTTGATCAGGAGCCAACGGCAGGTGCGTAAGTGGGCGCGAATTCACTACATTTTCCGCCTCCACCAACAGGCTATGGAACGTATGCTCTTTGGCACTCACCTCTTTCATTCTATAACACAGGACCTTCTTCACACACTGCACCATACGTTCCCAGGCGCCGCCTTCAGATGGATTTTCAGGGCAGTTGAAAACCCATTCTACGCCCTTCGATGTCAGCTCACCCTGCAACGCACAGCAATCGAACACCTCTGAAAAACGCTTAACCTCGCCAGTTATGCCAATGAAGTTCTTGCCATTATCCGATCTTATCTTCTGGGAGTTGTCCCATCATCGGTACCGACGGCTTTGCTTTCCTTAGTTTGCATATATTGCAATTTGCAATGACCCCACGAATGACCTTTCTCAAGTTTGGGATCCAGTACTTCTGGCGAATCATAGAAATAGTTGCCTCCGTATTTTGGTGCATCATTCGCTTATGCTCTTGGGCCACTACGAGCCTCGATACGGCATGATGAGATGGCAAAATTATAGGGTTCCTCATATCATAAGCGAGCCAACTGATAGCATCCAATCGCCCGTGTACTCGGAGAACACCTTCGCTATCCAGCCACGGCGAAAGTTTGTAGAGTGGACTCTCACTTGACAGACTTAGTTCTTTCTCCAGTAGATTCACTTCATTGACGAATGCTTCCCGTTGCGCGTGCCGACATATCAGTCGTTCGGCGGCGTCAAGCTCCGTGGCCATTAACCCGTATGTTGACATCTTCTCCGGAGGTTCCGCTCTTGATCTGCTGTTACGGATGTAGCGGAGGACCCAGGCAACAACTCTCCTCAGTTTAAGAAACGATGAAAATCTGTTAAATTCAAAAATGCTGCTTCTGGCAATTAATAAACCATATTTCGGCCGAAGTTCTTCGCTCTCGTCGGCGTTCACAACGGGTACGTCGTCTGTGGGCCAAATGTGCTCTGACTGATATAAAAAATCTGGACCCATGAACCAACGTGAGGATGGATTGAGATTAACACAATTTTTTATCCGGGTTGCTTCGTCAGCCACATTTTCTCTTGTTGGCACCCATCTCCAATCAGACGGCTTAGACACATTTAGGATTTCCGCCACTCTATGGGCTACAAAGGGCTTGTGACGACGATACTCACTTGCAATCCACTTTAGAACCGTTATTGAATCGCTCCAAAGGACACAGCGATCTACGAGCAACGTATGCTCTTCAATTATAGTTGCCATCATACGCGATCCTAATACGGCAGCTTGCAACTCCAATCTAGGAATACTTAATGTCTTGAGCGGCGCACTTCTTGACCTGGCGTACACAATACTGACTTGCACCGTTTTGTCCGGGCTCGCTGCTCTCCAAAATGCTACGGCTCCGAATGCGTCTTCGCTCGCATCAAAAAATATGTGCAATTGTAGAGATTTTGGCTCGCCCAACCTGAAATAGTGGCGTGGAACTGTGCACTCTATAACCTTTAGCAACTGCCTCCGGAAATCATTCCACATGTCGTTGATATTACTAGGAACGGGCTCATCCCAGCCTAAACTAAGTTTCCAGATTTCGCGTAAACTCAATTTGCCCGTAATGGTGAGGTGGCACAGGAATCCCAAGGGATCGAATATGGACATGACGATGCTCAGTAGCATCCTCTTTGTGGGCACTAAGTCGCCACTCATAACTTGCGAATCGATTCCATGGAACTCAAACCGGTATGTAAAATGGTCACTTGACGGTTGCCACGACATGCCTAAGACTTTCCCAGATTGCATGGCTTCTTTGGAGATAATGGACAAGGCTGTTTTTTCACCACCTAATGCGATCGCGACTTCCAAGAGATTTGACCTGAACTTCCGCAGCTGGAAACCGGCGTCTTTATGAATGTCGCGAACCTACTTGGCTATCTCTATAGCTCTCTTAGCGGAATGGAAACTATCGACATAATCATCCACATAATGATAGTCCGTTATGGCTTGGACTGCACGTCGATCGTAGTTGTCGTGTTCCGTCGCATTCTTTACCTTCACAAAATGTGCTGAGCTCGGAGAGCATGCTGCACCAAATGTCATTGCTGTCATCTCATATACGTCAGGCGTTCGTTGGCTATCGCCATTGCGCCACAGAAATCTCTGGGCGCACCTATCTTCAGGACGGATTAAGACTTGATGGAACATTTCCTGTATATCGGCACAGATGGCCACGGCGCCTTCACGAAAGTGGAATAACACGGACACCAATGGGCAATATTGCTGGGGTCCCTTCAGCAGTTGAGAATTCAGTGACACTCCGTGTGACGTTGCTGCAGCGTCGAACACAAATCTCAGCTTCTCTGGTTTATGCGGGTTTACCACAGCATAATGTGGAAAGTACCATGTCCTGGGACCCACTTCTCCTAATTCGGCTGGTTGAAGCTTACAGGCATACCCTTTTCTTACGTAATCCTTTATGATTTCACGGTATGCTTTACCAAACTCTTCATTATGGGCGATTTTCTTTTCAATGCTTACAAGGCGTTTCAAAGCCATAGAATAGCTTTCCGGTAATTGAACGTTGTCACTCCTCCACAGTAATCCTGTTTGAAATCGTCCATTCACCTTCACTGTTGTTGACTCAAGCAGCTTCTTAGCACGAATGTCAGCTACACTCTCAATAGGTGGCAAAGCACGCACACCGAACGACTCTACTGTGAAGTAGTTCTCTATCAGGTTATGCATCCGGCTTTCTGAAGTACTGACGTGAGAACAGGATGGCTTCTTCAACTGCAAACGGCTTGATGGCCCGAACACACAGACCCTCAATTTAGTTATTGTGGCAAACGGCCCGTCACGATTGGTTAGTATCGGCTTGGTTGGCAATCCCAGATGGCAATGGTCCAGGCCAATTAAAACCTTAGGCGTTACATTTTCATACGGCTGTACTGGTAATTTATGTTGATATCTGACGGCATTGCGGATATCCCCTTGACTGAGACTTTGCATGGGTAGGTTTAAGTTGGCTATACCATGGACGTTGCGAATCATATGGCGCTTCTTCATTCCTAGGCCACTGATAAAAAGATTAGTTACGGCCACTTGTTCTTGCGCCGCCTTTCCCCGAACCACTGGATTTCTACTTGACGCTGCTGATATTTAAGACCAAGCTCCTGCACTAGAGAATCGTCCATCATCGTAATTGAAGACCCTTCGTCTAAGAGCGCATATGTATTAACGCGCTTGTTTGGACCATACAGTGTGACAGGAACTACCCGAAACAATAAATTGCAGGAAGCCTGGGCAGAAAAATTAAGAACGGCGTTATTCGGATTTGGTGCCTCGGAAGCGATGGTGGATCTGACAGGACGACTGGCATTATCATCATGTAACAACTGATTGTGATGTCTCTGGCAACCATCTACTGGACATAATTTACGACGACGACAATCTCTAGTAGCATGCCCAGGAGATAGACAACTGAAACACAGGTGTAAACGCTTTGCCATGTTCCATCGATCCGAGACGTTGGCATCAGACAGGCGGCGACAATCTGCAACTCGATGATTCCCTTGGCATAATACGCATTTAAATGAGCGTTGTTCTCTGGCTGCATGTAGCACTGGACGACGTTTTACTTCTCGACCTTCTTGATCTTGAACCATCTGGACAAAACTGGCGATCTCGGACAGCCACTCGCTAAAGTTAACAATTGTTGGATAGGGTCGAATCGCTACGGAATACCTCGCCCAGTCCAGGCGTTTGCTCATTGGTAGCTTGGCAACCAGCTCCTCTAATAATGTTGGATTAACCAGATGTTTCTCTTCACCTATGGATTGTAGAAACACAGTGAGGTTTTAAACAACTGTTGCAAACGTGACCAATCTGTGGATGGCAACTTCCGAGATGCATGGTAAATCGCGCACTACTTTAAGTTGACTACGTATGAGCTGTTCTGGACGACCAAACCGAAAACGCAACTGTTCAATTACCGCATTTACATTACTTGGGTGAATGAGTAAGGATTTGACAGTATCCTTTGCCTCACCCTTTAAACATTTGTTTAATCTCTGATTGTTTTCAAAGTTTGAATAATTATAAACCGCTGTTGATTCGACAAATGACGCATAAAATACTGGCCAATCTTCTGGCTGCCCTGAAAACTCTGGTAAATCAATTATCTTTTTTGGAAAGGGTACAGTGTTACTCAGTGATGGGTTGACAACTCGACTTAATACTGGTGAATGCACGGATGCCCTATTGTCTGACATATCGGACGACCCTAGTTCCAATGTTCTTCGAGGCGTTGGATGCGTGTTTGGTGGAATGATAGGACGACTATATTGCGCTGATATGGCTGGGTGACCACTAAGGTGGTCGACAGAACTCCTATTCCCAGTGATAAGGTCATGTGGCAAAGCTGGTATGCCGCTGTTGGCAAGCACATAAATATACGTCGGATGGGTGACCGACGTTACAGGAGGCGTCGACTGAGGCGGTACGGTTACAAGGCTATGTCGTTCGCTTTCAGTTGTGTGGGCCTGAGCATATTTGAGTTGTTGTTCTAACATGCTTATTTGCTGTTGCATCTTATAAAGCATATCCAGATTAGACGGAGCTGAGGCATTTATAGTGGCAGTTGGCATGATTGTTGTTGTTGCGTTTGCAGGAGCGAATTCACCACTGCACACTGGGCCAGATTCACTTTTTTTTGGCATAAAGTCTAATAATAAAGCTAGAGAGCTGAATTTTTGTAGAATTGGTGCATTTGACATTTAAACTACATACTTTTAATTTCAAGTGAATCGGCCCACGCCCACCCATACCGCCCATATAAGGATATAAAGTTAAGGAGTTTTTAATATAATAGATTTAAACTGAATTTTTCTTATGTAACTATTTAATATATGATTATACTATTATATTAATCATAATTTTCTACGTCCAAATGCATAGAAAATGGATCATCGTGATCCGAATCCGAGTCGCTATCATCGCTTTCCAAAAAATGTTCATTTTTAATATGTTCTACATTTTGTGCATCTAAAAGATTGATGACTTCTTTCGGCAAAGCGCTTTTTTTATTTTGAGACGATCTTTTGTTTATTTTTAGGCTAGAAAGTAAAGGATGAATCCATGGATCGGTGAAATACGTCCGATAAATTGTTAACACGAGAACTTTGTCTCGAATATGATCGTCTATCGCGCTTGTAGAATTTATTGCGTTCTTCAGATGCGTTCTCTCCAAAGCAACCAATAGGTAAAACCGAGGATGCTATTATCTGCGGACCGTGAATCAAAACTTTGTGGACAGTTGCTGACATCGGATACCATTTATAGTGATCCATATACATTGATACAGTTCGTTGGCAGAATTGTTTGAATTTAGGAATATTTATATGAAATTCGCAAGATATAGCTACTAAAATTATATAAAACCTGTGCAAAATTTCATAATTTAATCCTAATATTGATGAAAGTTGCCTTGTGCTCTTAAATGCTCTTCTTACGGTGTTTCCGTCATTCGTATTTCCACTTCCGTTTTGCTTTGGCTTATCGACATGTAATCCCATTTGAGTCAAAAATAATTTTGTACTTCTTGTTTACGGCATGTTATCATGTCTCTTTCTTTTTTATCCCTTGTTTGCCACTTTTCCAATTGAAGTTTGTATGAGATTTTAAGTACAAACTCGAAAAATCTGATCCATGCGTGCAGAGGATGCCATAATTTAGATTTTCAAATTTAGCCTTAAAGTTTGATATTTCGGTGGTTTTCATAAAATCCTTTGAACTGGCTCCACAGATAGGACACACCTGGCAAGATTTCGTTCCGGTTATTATATTCAACACCTTTCCGTCAATTAATGTGAGATGAAGGGAAAAAGTGACAACTATTTTTCTATCGATTGAAAAATTGTAAGTAAAATCTGTGAGGTTGTGTATTTGTGACTCTAAATTCGACTTTACCGCCAAAATAAGTTCTTTTGTTTCTTTAGTGAATTCAATCTTTAGGGGTCTGCAAAATCTTACTGATTGGGTGCTTTTATTTATCCATAACGGTGTCTCTAAATCATCTGTTAATTTTAATGGAATGAGGCTGGTAACGAAAACTGAGTCGTCTTTGAGATGGGATTCATCTTCTAAGAATCTCTGCTTGTACATACTCTGCCCGGTAGTACCGTCAAATCCATAGCTTGCGATCAGTTTGACATCTGTTATGTTTTCTCTGGTTTCTGTCACATGAACTCCCGCTGGTCTACACGCTAATTTAGCTTCGCTGACTTTATTATACGATGGATAATTATTGCTAAATTGTGTTTTATTCAAAGCTCTCATGCCGTTGTATTGGGCTTTGGTTAGAGAGTTGTCAATCAAAAATGCAAGAGCCTGAATTGGTGTGAGCGGTACTGGCTCTGAGAATATCAATTTCTTTCTAATTTCAGTGGATGCAGATGAAGTAGAAATGGAATGTTTTAATACAAAAGTAGTATCGCTCATTTTTTCCTTTTTGGCTGAAATTGATGCTGCATGGACAAGAAAACTTGTATTATTTTCTTCAATATTAGCCAGATCCGTTGCCATTTTTCTTTTGAGCCGTGATCCTGCATCACTGTAAGGGAGTCGTGGTCGTCCCTTTTGACAGTCTGAAGCGATTTGGTTGTTATTTTCCTCCAAGACAACCATCATAGTGGATGAAAGCCAACTAAAATGTTTTTTTTTTTTTTAAATGCTTCAATTGTACGTTTACATTTAGCCAGATTTTTCGTCATATACAGGTGAAAGCTTCTGATTTGCTTAGCGATTTTAGCTTTCTCGTCAATATTAATATCATTAAATTTAAATTCGCCAACAACCCAGTCAACTAAGGCCTTGTCATTTCGACCTCCTTTGATCCACTCATCCAGCAGAACCGATCGGCTAATCTCAAACTTGCCTTTAACAACAAAATATAAAGAGCATAGGCTAATTTAGGCAAAAGGCACTGTTAGGATCAATTTAATTACAATTTTTAGTAAACACATCAGTTATTAGTTTTTGGCACAAGTTGGCACAAATTATTTCTCACTCCACAATAGACGAATACTTTGGTTAGATTTTGCCTAAACTAAGACATAAACAAAGACAACAACAATTACAACATGGAACACATAAATCGAAATCAGTAATTTATATCTGTATTAAGCATACCTTGATCTTTATGTTCCATTTTATTTGCAAATATTTGGGCACGTGGTGTTTTTTTAACAGAAGCGCAAAGTTGAGTAAAAGCTTCCCGCCAATTTTGCTTGAACAAACAGATGATCAAACATATGCATTTGTTATCGAATACAAAACGCAGTGTTGCGTTGGCTGGCATAGAAATAGCTGCAGGAACAATTGGAGTACAGCTTGTTGATGACTGGCTGGCTGGCTCTGTATCGGGCATTGGAGCGCTTGATGAAGTGGCGACAGGCGGCGGAGTTGTAGAAAGCGACAGGCTGAACTCTGGAATACTGACTGGCGTTCTGGACGGCAAGGCACTTGGCTGTCCTCCAGCTTTAGCGGACGTAGCGGCAATCTTCGCTGTACTGGATGATGACTGGCTGGCAGGCTCTGGACACTCCGACTGATTTCGTTTGCGTATGGGAGAACGCTGTATTCTAAGTTGCTAATTATTTCACGACAAACGAAAGCTATGTTATGGCAAATGGCGTCTTTCGCTGACGAATAAATGTCTGTCGACAACTGGCACAACGGTCGAATGAAATGGCGGCAAATTAACGTTAACACTTGGCGTCGAGCAAACAAACGAACGATAAAATATAAATTTAAAGACTGTAAATTAAAGCATATCACGACACCGGGATTCTGATTTTAACATGGGCGTTTGCACAAGTTCAATTTACAGCATTTCTCACTCCCGGTTTGCCTTGGTGATATAAATAATAATGATCGACCAGAACCGTTGCCCGAATTTATATGGCAATTCGATTAACGGATCAACAAATAGCAAACCGGGAATGGAACACAGCGTTGCAATTTTATTCAGTTACAAAAATCTTAAACTATTACAGAGTTACCAGAATTACATTAACAATGAACTTATACCAGAGAACGTAAATACAACGAGAAGCGTGGAAACTGTCAAATGAGCCAGAACGCGATGAGCGTTTTTTTCACCACTGTCACAGGAATTAACAGAGTTTTCTATTAGCGTATAACATTGGTGAGCGTAGTTGTAATAAATCTGCTCTGAAATGTAATTACCCGTCTCGAAATAACATTGTTGTATGTAGATACAAAACTTTTTGTACGTTTCATATCAAAATATTCGAAAATATTATTTCAAATCTTTTTATGCATTACTAAATTTTCAGATATGAAAGAATCAAGTTTTAATGATATATTTAAATTTTTTTCTGTACCATCTGACAGAAAATAATATTAATAATTTTATCAACTTGTAAAGCAAAAATATGGTTAGAATAAAATTCTGAAAAGACAATTTACTCTTTGATATGAAGTGATAAGGCATTTTTATGAATTGCAGGTATATGAACAATAGAAAGGACTTAATTGTGCCAATATATACATACATACATATTTGTACATACATATACGCATAGGCAAACAAATTTAAACTGATAATTTTTATGTAGAAATACTTCACATACACTATCTCTCTAAACGCTTCTAATAAAATACAACAATAACATTTTCATTCATAAATTTATCGCACACATACCCCTGCATAATCGTGCCTACAAGCTATTGACAAAATTCAAAAAACAAAAAAAATCGCATGCTCCTCTTCCTTCAAACCGTAAAATTCATACGACATCTACAAACTATTCAAATTCTAGTAAATTACAACAATAACATTTTCATTCATAAATTTACCGTACACATGCCCCTGCATAACAATGCCTATAAGCGGTAGAAAAAATTCAAAAAATCTAAAAACAAAAATGGTCACAATACATGAAGCAATAACAAAATACATTTGCCTGCAGCTTTCCCTTCATCCTGCAAAAAACACACGGCATCTACAAGCATTGATTCAAATTCTAACTGACAAAAATTCAAATATTCGATTTTGTCTACTAAAATGAAAAAAATCGGAATTCCGTTGCTAAATTTGATGATCTCCTATTAGCTTATATTGGCCAATAAAAATTTCCTCGCCTTCCCGCAAGCGCCTTGTCCTCAAGCTGAGTTGTGGCGATGATGATGAAATTCTTAAATTCTAAAATTGTAGAATATTTTATATTTTATTCGGGAAAGAAAATTGGCAAGCGAAGAATGGCAACATTGCCCTAGACAATTCCAGTTCAACCCAGAAAATATATAATTTTTCGTATTTTGGTGTATGAATTCAGTTACAGTGATCTCTGTGTATCACCAATACTTCTATCACAAATTAACTATCCCATGAACATCTAGTAAAGTGAGCTCATAAAATTAATTCCAATGTAGCCGAGTGGCTAACATTGCTTACTGCCATTCGAATAGTCAGGGTTCGAGTCCTGGTTCGACTATCACCCTTATAGAAATGCATGCACTGATCAAGACAATCAAGACGCATACCATAAATTGGAGAAGATAATCCGAAAGACTCTTCTTAAATTGTATTAAATTATTAAGAATTTTAAACTTTTATGCTTATATTTTTCACAGTTAAAATACATATTAATTTAATATTCGTTTGCTAATTGCAAAGAAAGATGTTCATTCCATCGGTAGTTATTTGCTGTAGTCACGGAAGAATTCAGGTACAGTGAACTCTGTTTATCGCGAATATTCCTATATTATTTTAACCATACAAAGTACTTTCAACTGCATTACTTTTGCATGCGTAATTTCTCAACGATTTCAAGTCTCTATTAAATTTTGGACTGTATCGAAGTGTTAAACATAAATTTAATTCAAAAAATTATATTTAAAAATAATGAGGTACTCTTACGCTGCATCCATAAACCCCGCAGCTCGTAAAAGAGGGGGGATTTTGTATGATATATTAGAGACCTACTTATAATAATATATTAATCACTTAAAATATAATATTTTTTAATAAATACCTACATACATACATATATACATAATTAGAGGAAAATGAAAAGAAGTGTGAAAAAAATTTTCGTTAAGTCCGGCAGGTATGGAGGAGTCTCAGAATAGGCCATGTTGGGCTACCTAATGGAAGGGATGGGTGTACGAAGGCCTAAAATATGGCTGCGTGTTTTATAGACAATTCTTTATTAAACATTCGTTTGCACTATCGTGAGTGCGTTTGACAACTGTCGATTGAAAATTCATATTTGTTCAATTTAAAATTATTGTATTTTGGTTTGTATAATAGACGCGTGAGGGGAGATGTGCAAGGCTAGTTTTTTTTTAATTTCAAATTGCGGCCATTATAATAGTATTGTCATGGCAATGCGTAGTATTTTTTTTTGATGGATGCGTAAGCTTTTGTTTGTAAACAAATGTGTAAATTTGAATTCATGTGCGTACATATGTATGTAAAAAATGTACATATATTTGCGTGCGTGGATGAATTTTGATTTTCTTACTGCTCTGATATTTGCCTCAATAACTATGTATGTATGTAAATGAATGCAGAGAATGTTTATTAAATATTATTGTTCTCTGAAAAATATTTAATAGAATTTAATTAAATATTAAAATACTGTTTCTTACTTTTAATTCATCATAATTATCACTAATCGTGTAAAAAAATATAGGCAAAATATAAAAATGGGTATAAAAAATAATATATGAATTCTGTAATTTGAAGTTGTTTAATAAAATTTTAAACTATTGAAGCCAATAACAAAAATTTATAAGTTTAAAAAAATTTTGATAACAACCATTTGCTAATATTTATCTTGCATAGGTTTTATCATTTTTACACCGATTTTCTCAGTTTTCATATAATTTTACTAATTCTGCTATTTTGAGACTGATTTCTGCCTGCTCACTGTTAATTTGTGGTGAAATACGCTCATAGATTTCTGGGTGAAAAACACGCTGATGTATTTCTGGTAGACGAAAAAGTAGGAACGAATTGGCAATCGGCACGCGCTGGTCCTTCTCGTTGTATTTACGTTCTCTAGAAGAACAAGCAATTAAATTCGCCTTGGCTCGTCTGAAAACAATCGCAGATGTGTCATAAATTTCGCCTTTCTATTGTGATGATGATGCAATTTTTTTTGTGTTTCAATTTCGCACATTCCAACGCAAGCAGCTGATTTCGAAGAATTCTTTCTTTCGAATCGAGCGTAACTCAGAATACCAAATTACAATTGCTGTGGCTATTAAGAGATAAACTTCCGTTACGTTGTCGGTTGCTGAAATTAAAATAGAAATTACGACTGTCAATTGGCAGCTGAGGACTGAAATTCCTTTTTCGTGGTTACGCAGGCAGCTCTATTTTGTGGTTGTTGTAAAAGCGAATATTGGGTATAACTTGAAATAATTAACTTTCTTTATGAGACTTAAAATGGCAGAGATGGAATTTTACCCGAAAAAAAACCCAAATGTGAAAAAACCGCGAAAAATTACGAAATGGGAAAATATCGGGGGTTATTTCAAATATTGTAACATCTGGGTAGTGTGTAAATAAAAGAAGTAGCAGTGTAAGGACCCCAAAAATTAGATGTTGAAGCCCTTACAATAGCACAAAAAAAAATATATAATATGTATGTACATATAAAAGCAATTTGAATTTGATATCTACATCTTTATATATATAAATCTTCTGTTCGTGTGTTTTTAATTGAACTCCTTCTAAACGGCTGGGCCGATTTTGATACAATTTTTTTGTGTGTATACAAGATGGGCTAGATAATGTTTTAACAATGAATTTATTTATTTATAAATTTTTGTTGATATTACAAAGTTTTACATAGAATTCCGGCTGACGGCGCAGCAGTCCTGCCAGATATTCTAAACATTCATACTGC